ATGCTTTAAATAACTGTACCAGAAATGCTTGCTTCATATAGATTACGTGTTATCGGAAATTACTTCTCAGTTTACCTGTTTATTGATGTTTAGAGAGCAGTAAGTAAATGTTTAACACATGTATAATTTTGTTTTTACTGTTGCAGGTAAGAAAGATGACAAGCGCAAACATTCCCGCTCTCGTTCGCGTTCACGGCGCAGACGAACCAGATCTCGTTCAAGACACAGGTAAAGATGCGTCTATGGCAATGTCGGGGGAAGCCTTTTTAGTTTCATAATTAGTATATTTTTGAATATTAATTGTTTGTGAATGTGCTGCTGCTTCTTTTGAGCAGACGTTCGAAGAGCAGATCTCGGCGTAGGTCTCATTCAAGGAGCAGGAGGAGGTCCAAGAGCCCACGGAGGAGGAGGTCCTACTCCCGGGATCGAGGCCGTCGCAGTAGATCTAGGTCAGCTGTTATCCTGAGGAGCAAAATGGCTCCTGTGTTTCATTTCATTCAAAGTGTGCTTGGAGACCAGAGGTTGATCATTTCAAAATTGAAATTTGTCGAAAATATTTTTGAGCTTTGTTTTTTAATGTTGGCAGTGGGCAGCTCCAGGTTTTGAGACTTCTCAGGCATGAACATGTTTGGTAATGTTTTTGTTTGCTTTCGTCTCGTACAGAGACAGGAGGAAGGAGGAGAAATCCAAGAAAAGATCCAAGACTCCCCCCAAAAGCTACAGCAGCGCCAGGAGGTCTCGGAGCATTAGTCGGTGAGTAGTCTTGAATACGGTGTGATAATATGATGAAATGCAGGTGAGCCTATTTAGTGTGAAAGACCAGAAGCTCCAACTCTTCTATAGACAGCAGAAAATCAAGAAAGTCCTGAATAAATGATGAGGATGTTTTTATGAATGTTACTTATTTTACTCCTTTGTGTGTCTCAGGAGACACAGGCGAAGTCGCAGTGCTTCTCGCTCCCCTAAGAGAAGGGTCTCCAGGTCTCCGTCCCCCAGACGGTGAGCTTTCTGCATCTGATGTATAATGAAGTTTATTGTGTGGATGCCCTCAAAGGCATCCACACTATTGAGCTCCTGTTTCTCTTTATTCTTTATACTTTATTCTTCAAGTTGCTCCGTTCTTTGCCGCTTAACTACTTCCACAATTTTTGTGCAATTTTCACCATTCAAATTTCACAAGATTCTGCTATTTCTGCTCATTCCTGCTATATCTTTTTGTACTTTTTAACTATTATACTTTTTAAAATATTAAGCTTTTTATACAATATTTTTGCCCATTGAAATGAATGGAACACATTATCAATGTGGTCACTTGTTTCTGCTCGCCGGGCTGAGCTGTGTTTTAGCTCAGTGAGATGAGCAGCCGTTCTCAGACTGGGAGGCCCGGGTTCAAATCCCGCTTATGGCAACATTTCTTTCAGTTAACAGTTAAACGTTTTTAACTCTTTTCAGCAAAATTTTCAGTTTTTTCTGCTGTTTTCAGGAAAAAAAATCTCTTTTCAGCAGAAATTTTGCTCATTCACCTCTTTTCAGCAGAATTTTCAGCCTTTTCACCTCTTACCAGCACAAATCTCAGCTGTTTTCAGAAAAAACCTGTTTTCAGCAGAAATTTTGCTCATTCACCTCTTATCAGTACAATTCTCAGCAGCTTCTGCTCATTTCTGCAGAATTGTCAGTCTCTCCACCTATTTGTGAGAATGAGTTTAGCTCAGTGAGATGAGTAACCGCCTTGAGACCAGGAGGGCCAGGTTCGAGTCATGCTCACGGCAACATTTTTTTTCACCACTTTTCAGCAAAAATTTCTGCTTCTTCACCTATTTTTAGCAGAATTTTCAGTTTCTTCACCACCATAGAATTTTTTTTTACAACTTTTCAGCTATTTTCAGCAGAGAGCTTCAGCGTTACGGCATCCACACAGCATTTTCGCAGGAAATGCAAATTTTTCTAGTTTAATTTTGAGTGCCACAGTTTAAAAATACTTTTGTTATCTTTACAGCCACAAGAAAGAAAAAAAGAAGGACAAGGA